CATTTTACTGAAGTATGAAACAATTTGTGCAGAGGTTTCATGCTCCCGTGGTGACTAAAGGGCTGATTAGCACCATCACCTGACTTCACCTTTTCTTCCTTCCACATACATTCCGAGCCCAAATCCACTAAAATTTGGTAGGCTGCTAATCTTCCAACCAGTCACTTGGTCATGCCAGAGAAAGGATCCCTCTTCCTCTCCTCTGATCTCATGGTGATAGCACAGGGCAAACACTGACAGGCACTTAAAGTTTTGTGAATGTTTCTTAATATCTTTTTGACCATGTATTACTCGGAGTAGTTAAAGCAATAGCCACTGAACTTTTCATTTTATTTATAGTGTTGTGATCTGCTTCACAAAAAAACAAAACCAAAACAAAAAAAATCCTCATTAAAGCGCCTAGTCCTTTCTACAGGTATCTAGAGTCTGCTTCACTCATGACACACATTTTCTGTTTTCCAACAGCATACTATAATGCCTCACACTGACCTCTCAGTCTCAAGTGCTCTGATTATTTTGTTGTTTGCTAAAGATGCAGATAGTAATTCCTTAATTAACTGTCCTGCTTACAGCTCTCCTGCTCTGCAGAGATCTTGGACAAGCTTCTCTCTTTTTCCAGTTGCTGAGTAAGGCCACCAAAGTAGCTGTGTTCTTTCTCCAGCTACAAACATAAGAAGGGAGACATCCTACCTAATTCTTTCTCCCTCAGACTAGGCTCAAAGATATTATATGGCAATGTACACCCTCTTCTATAGACATAAGACATACACAACTGCTTTACACTGCTTTCAGCCTTCTTATAATATGATATATCATGAGAAACAGTCATTGTACACAGTCTCTTGTTAAACGTTGTGTAAAATTTATGCCATAGAAACTAAAATATGGTTCACAATTACCCTACGCTTTGGTACCCCTTCTATTTCTTCTTCCCTTTTCCTCTCACCAAATCAATGGCTGCTTTTTCTACTTGTAAAAGACCTAGCAGTATGACCAATTCACACACAAGGAAAAGCAAAATGATCAGCTTGTCATACCCACTGTGCATCATCATAAACCACATTCATCCAGAAAGTCAGATTACAATATATGCAACAATCACCTATACTGTGTATGTAAAAGAGTACCAATATATTGAAGAAGAATTAGTGTCACTATCATTTCCTTCCACATATATGCATTTCAGATCTTGATTTCCCAGTTATAAATATACAAAAAGGTTCCCATATTTACAACCTTAGCACCACGTGATGTCACATTAAAAAGACAGAAATATTACTCTAAAATCCAAGCCTCCTAGTTTAGACCAGAGCCACCCCAGTCTCAATTAGTCTGCAAAAACTGCTTCCATTTTCTCCTGCAATGCTCCTGGTATTTTATTCATTTTACATTTCAGTTCTTTTGCCTTTCCCTTCTTACTGTCCTAAGAAATGCTGTTTGCACCCCGTGAAATGTTCCCTTTGCATCTTTGCAAAGAAATACACCTTCGCATCTTGGCAAAAAAATACATCTTTGAGAGCATTCTGGGAAAGACAACTTAATGTTAGTCTCCCCTGCTAAGCACACAGATCTTTTACCTTTGAAATCTAGCTCATATCTCTGTGAATCAGCTTCAAATTCAGAAGTGCCTTCCTGATAAGTCTGAAATAACTGCTCCACCTGTGCAGAAGATATGGGGGCAGCACGCTTGTCTGGGTGCTAGAAAGAAGAGGAATATCTGTTAGAAATGGGTGTTGGGCTAAGGTGCACAAGCATAGCAGAGCTGGATTTAGCATCTATGCATGTCATGGGGAAAAGCCAGTGATTTGAAGCCCTTACTGCCCACAAAGTAAATGAGCAGAGGCTCCCTGGTAGGGGGAGGTACAACTCAAGACCCTTCGGTTATTTCCAACAAAGTTTATAAATGATGTTGTTTCCCAGGGAGGAAAAGTATGTATTTTTCAGGGCTTTGTTTTTCAGGAAAGGTATGCAGAATGAAGGCCCTTTATACACACCCAGAATTTTCAAATTGAAATGTTTTCAATAAATTCCTCAGTGCTTGTGAAGGCAGATTGCTTTCAGAGCTGCAATTACTGGGAGCATTAATGAACACCAGCAAAAATCGCAGAAATGTGTCAGTTCATCAAGAAACCACTGTGAGGATATCTGAGTGACATTTATTACATAAAACCAGCAAGTGACAAGTTCAAAACAAGTAGAAAGAGACTTTCCTTCAAGCAACATTCAGTTCAGCTGTGGAAATCACTGTCAAAAAATGTTGTGGATGCTAAAAGTTTATACGGATTTTAAAAGTGATGGAATAATTAATTACATTAATATCATTAATTACAGTAAGTACTATATTATTGATTATAATAATTACTGTATTATTAATGCATCCATGGTTACTCTATGTACAGATACCATCTGTGATACAGGAGTTCCACAAGTCAAAAATTGCTGTAGGCAGGGAGCACCTTCTGGGAAAATATCGCTGCCTGTGTCACTACCAGTCAAGGAACTGGGTTCCAGAACTAGATGTACCTTTGCTCTGACATGATTTGGCCATTACACTTGCTAAAAGTGTAAAATGTACACTTTTATTGGGGGAGAAAAAAGAATAAAGGCAGTGACCAGCATAACATCTTAGGAATAAACAGAAAATCTCACCTGTATCCCAAATTCAACCCAACGATTTTGTTCGTCCAGCCAATACCAACAGCATCTTCCCGTTTGGGCCAAGGAGCGTGCATCAGTGATTGACAGATTGTGCAGGATGATGAAAAAGAAAACCATGTACAACAACAATGAAAAGGCAGATGAGTTTCTGGCACTCCCATAGAGACTTAATAACTCTGCAATGAATATATAAATTAACGCAACCAATAACTTTGCAGCCCTTCAGTGTGCCCCCCCAACACTCAAACCTATGCTCTCTGCCTTTTTCACCCTTCTCCTGCTTTTTGTTTTGGGGGTGGCAACCTGCACATAGTACCCAGAAGCTAGGATTTCTTTGGGGAGGAAGATCTGATCTGTTTGCATTGAAGGCACGTAAGAACAGCCCCACACCAAACCTATGGGCTACATATCCCCATGTCTTGACTCATGCAACACCTCCCTCCTTCAGCTCTCTGGCAGCCCCATACATCATCACAACCACCTCCAGCTCTTCCATCCTCCAACCACATGTCCCTGACCCCAAAATTGCAACTTTACCAGCGTTCCTACCACTGTTGTCCCCCACAGTGGCACTCCTCCAGGCTATCACTCCTCTCCTGAGAGGAGGTGCTGGTAGAATCATAGAATCATAGAATGCTTGAGGTTGGAAGGGACCTCTAGAGGTCATCTAGTCCAATCCCCCCTGCACACGCAGGGTCACCTAGAGCACGTGGCACAGGACTGCATCCAAGCGGGTTTTGAAGATCTCCAGAGAAGGAGACTCCACAACCTCTCTGGGCAGCCTGTTCCAGCGCTCTGTCACCCCCATTGTTAAAAAAATTTTCCTTAAGTTCATGCGGAACTTTTGGTGCTTCAGTTTGTGGCCATTACCTCTAGTTCTGTCGGTGGCCACCACTGAAAAGAGGCCAGCAGCATCCTCCTCACTGCCTCCCTTGAGGTACTTATAGACGCTGGTTAGATCCCCTCTCAGCCTTCTCTTCTCCAGGC